GCGCCGCGGCCTGCGTGAACTCCGTGATCTTTGTGCTGCAGGAGAGATCAAGATATCCGTCAGCGACAAAGGGGGTGAATTTGTGGTCTTATCACGTGAAGTGGACATGGCCATCACTAGGAATCACCTGGCAGACAATACAGTATACGAGTCGTCTTCAGACAAAGAGTTCAGGAGGCAGTGCCGCCACTTAAACAAGGTTTGGGTAGAAGTAGCTCGATCTGAAGGCTTGCATAGAAGCTTAGTAACGCGTCTCAAGAGTGATTTGCCCATTTGTCCGGTATTGTACACCTTAGTCAAGACTCACAAATTAACGGCTGCCGGTTTCGCATCAAAGGATCCCAAGGACTTCAAAGTCAGACCTATAGTAAGCAATGTCGGTGGGCCAACGGATAAGATCTCTTGGTTTCTTAACACTATCTTGTCGCAGCTGCTAAAGTACGTCCCCTCGCATCTTTCTAATACCAAAATGTTTCTAGAGCGTCTGCGTAACACTCACGTGGAACCAGGATGCGTGGTGGAGTCTTTCGACGTAACATCACTCTACACCAATGTTTCGAATGACGATGCCCTGCAAGCAACATTCGAGCTCCTTCTTGAACATCAAGCTTCTCTGAACTTTCACGGCTTAAGTATTAGAGGAATCATGTTGCTCCTAAAGGAATGTCTACAGTGTTCAGTCTTTCGATGGTGTGGACAGTATTACAAGCAGATTAGAGGCCTCGCCATGGGACAACGTTTAGCGCCTACATTAGCCATAGTCTTTATGTCTAAGGTAGAGGCTCCCGTTCTCGCGCGAAAACCATTGCTGTACTGCCGTTATGTGGACGACTGCTGCGTCATATGCCCGACCCAAGCTGAGCTGGACGCCTGTTTCAGGATTCTCAATCAGCAGTCTCCTCACATCAAGATGACACGCGAGAAGCCTACCGACAATTGGCTACCGTTCTTGAACGTGCAGTTGCAGCTATCGGGTGGCACCTTTAAAACGAGATGGTACCGGAAACCCAGTAGCAAGAATGTTTTAGTGCACTACACTTCAGCTCATCCTGCGCAAGTCAAAAAGTCCATCGTGGCCAATATGTACAGGACAGCTACGAATGTTTCGTCGGACAGGCAGCAAAGGGATTACTCGCTGAATCTGGCTGACCACATTGCTGAGTCTAATGGTTACAAGCGTAGGAAACATTTCTCGGTTGCACGTCGCCTGATTAACTTCGAGCCTCCAGAAACCGATAACAAAATCCCGTTTTGCTTGCCGTACATCTCGGAGGAACTCAGCAAGGCAGTAAGAAGATTGATACATCAAGTGGACCTACAAGATTGGATAAGAGTAATAGACATACCACCCCCAAATCTTAAATGTCAGCTCATTCGCAATCGTGCTTACGATAGGTTGTGCATGACCCCAGGGTGTGTAATATGTCCATTCGGCAAAGAGGGCGACTGCATGGTGTCGGGAGTAGTGTATCTGATCACTTGTCAGGAGTGTAGAGGCACGTATATCGGCGAGACGGGGCGCCCTCTATGTACGCGCATCAAGGAACATCTAGACGGTCTTAAAAAATCGAACCCGGCAACCCCACTGGGCATGCACCGCAGGCAATTCCATAATGACGCGGACATAAGTGTAGAGGTCACGATCTTAGCACGCGAGTCCGAAATCCTGGCGCGCAAGACGTTAGAGGCGTTTTGGATTGCCGCCAAAATTCCAAATTTGAATAGGAAGGATGAGTGCATAGCCATCACTAATGAGATGGCCGCTTATCAGAGCCTTTGCGGGTTCTGAGGTCAATTTGAGGCCAAGCCACTGGGTATATATAGAAGTTAGAGCTCAGTAACTGGTATACGGTCTGCTGCCAAGCAGTCATCAGCTGTTTTAGGTGAGCACTGGTCTAATTCTGTATTTACTTTCTTTGCTCTCGGTTTACTGACGCATTGGACGTCTTTTCTGAGTCTTGATGCGGTTTTTGATGGGATGGATTACTCATGCATTCGACGATTTCAGACTCTGAAGAAGGCGATTTTGCCGAAACGTCAGTCGAATAAAGCAATTACTAATCTCGGTGTCAAGCTCAAGCAGTTCTAAAAGCAATTTCCACAATGCCGAGATTGAGCGACGGTCGTACTTGGATGATACTGAAGAATGTACCAGCTGAATCCTTCCGACTCGCAAAGGAAGCTCTTTCTTTGAGACAGAAGATCGTCTCAGAAAGGCAGACCCTCCTCTTCCTTCGCCGCTGTTTACGCCAACAAGTCGTCCCCAACTTCATCGCCAAGAAACGACTCCACGTCTTATGCGGTCTACCAAATGGATGCTCACAAGTGAAGAAAATCGAACAACATCTTCTCCGTACTGCGCTACGGACAAAGCAGGATCATCTGTATATGTTATTATCTAAATGTCTGTATAAAGAACAGTGTTGTATGCGATATATTAATGAGCGCCTTTGGAAGAGGATTGTGGATGAGTCGAAGCGCATCTGTGATGGTATTCGGTCTAAGGCCAAGTCTAGACTGCAGGAAAAGTTCAAAGGGTTGGTGAATCGAGAGCAAGATCGTATTTTGCAGGAGCCGACTAGTGCTAATAGCAACGTTAACACAAACCAGAACTGTCCTACTAACATATCTGACTATGCACCCAGTCATCCTCGTGTTTCGGTACTAGGCGATGCACTTATCTCCAAAGAGGCGCTTTCCTTATTGGATCTAGGTCCAAGTTTTTCTCCTAGTCAATCGATAGGACCTAGGATCTCGCGTAAGATCGTGGGAAACCTCCAATTTGTTCGCGAGAGGCTGCGTCACAGAGCCAATGATAAGGAACGCGCAACGAACGATCAAGGTGCTAGTGGGCTAAATCTTCCTTATATTCCATTTCCAACGTTAATCTACAAACCTCAGGAACCTAATCAGGTAGTAGATACTAGATTTAGCGTTTTTGCCACGTCTCTGTTCTCCATTCTCGCCAAATTTAGCAAATTGCACGCAAATAGTAATTTAACGGTTTGCCAGCGCCGCGGCCTGCGTGAACTCCGTGATCTTTGTGCTGCAGGAGAGATCAAGATATCCGTCAGCGACAAAGGGGGTGAATTTGTGGTCTTATCACGTGAACTGGACATGGCCATCACTAGGAATCACCTGGCAGACAATACAGTATACGAGTCGTCTTCAGACAAAGAGTTCAGGAGGCAGTGCCGCCACTTAAACAAGGTTTGGGTAGAAGTAGCTCGATCTGAAGGCTTGCATAGAAGCTTAGTAACGCGTCTCAAGAGTGATTTGCCCATTTGTCCGGTATTGTACACCTTAGTCAAGACTCACAAATTAACGGCTGCCGGTTTCGCATCAAAGGATCCCAAGGACTTCAAAGTCAGACCTATAGTAAGCAATGTCGGTGGGCCAACGGATAAGATCTCTTGGTTTCTTAACACTATCTTGTCGCAGCTGCTAAAGTACGTCCCCTCGCATCTTTCTAATACCAAAATGTTTCTAGAGCGTCTGCGTAACACTCACGTGGAACCAGGATGCGTGGTGGAGTCTTTCGACGTAACATCACTCTACACCAATGTTTCGAATGACGATGCCCTGCAAGCAACATTCGAGCTCCTTCTTGAACATCAAGCTTCTCTGAACTTTCACGGCTTAAGTATTAGAGGAATCATGTTGCTCCTAAAGGAATGTCTACAGTGTTCAGTCTTTCGATGGTGTGGACAGTATTACAAGCAGATTAGAGGCCTCGCCATGGGACAACGTTTAGCGCCTACATTAGCCATAGTCTTTATGTCTAAGGTAGAGGCTCCCGTTCTCGCGCGAAAACCATTGCTGTACTGCCGTTATGTAGACGACTGCTGCGTCATATGCCCGACCCAAGCTGAGCTGGACGCCTGTTTCAGGATTCTCAATCAGCAGTCTCCTCACATCAAGATGACACGCGAGAAGCCTACCGACAATTGGCTACCGTTCTTGAACGTGCAGTTGCAGCTATCGGGTGGCACCTTTAAAACGAGATGGTACCGGAAACCCAGTAGCAAGAATGTTTTAGTGCACTACACTTCAGCTCATCCTGCGCAAGTCAAAAAGTCCATCGTGGCCAATATGTACAGGACAGCTACGAATGTTTCGTCGGACAGGCAGCAAAGGGATTACTCGCTGAATCTGGCTGACCACATTGCTGAGTCTAATGGTTACAAGCGTAGGAAACATTTCTCGGTTGCACGTCGCCTGATTAACTTCGAGCCTCCAGAAACCGATAACAAAATCCCGTTTTGCTTGCCGTACATCTCGGAGGAACTCAGCAAGGCAGTAAGAAGATTGATACATCAAGTGGACCTACAAGATTGGATAAGAGTAATAGACATACCACCCCCAAATCTTAAATGTCAGCTCATTCGCAATCGTGCTTACGATAGGTTGTGCATGACCCCAGGGTGTGTAATATGTCCATTCGGCAAAGAGGGCGACTGCATGGTGTCGGGAGTAGTGTATCTGATCACTTGTCAGGAGTGTAGAGGCACGTATATCGGCGAGACGGGGCGCCCTCTATGTACGCGCATCAAGGAACATCTAGACGGTCTTAAAAAATCGAACCCGGCAACCCCACTGGGCATGCACCGCAGGCAATTCCATAATGACGCGGACATAAGTGTAGAGGTCACGATCTTAGCACGCGAGTCCGAAATCCTGGCGCGCAAGACGTTAGAGGCGTTTTGGATTGCCGCCAAAATTCCAAATTTGAATAGGAAGGATGAGTGCATAGCCATCACTAATGAGATGGCCGCTTATCAGAGCCTTTGCGGGTTCTGAGGTCAATTTGAGGCCAAGCCACTGGGTATATATAGAAGTTAGAGCTCAGTAACTGGTATACGGTCTGCTGCCAAGCAGTCATCAGCTGTTTTAGGTGAGCACTGGTCTAATTCTGTATTTACTTTCTTTGCTCTCGGTTTACTGACGCATTGGACGTCTTTTCTGAGTCTTGATGCGGTTTTTGATGGGATGGATTACTCATGCATTCGACGATTTCAGACTCTGAAGAAGGCGATTTTGCCGAAACGTCAGTCGAATAAAGCAATTACTAATCTCGGTGTCAAGCTCAAGCAGTTCTAAAAGCAATTTCCACAATGCCGAGATTGAGCGACGGTCGTACTTGGATGATTTTTGAAAATAGTTATCATATTCGTAATCAGCATGCTCGATTACCCCCGTGTGCCAACTCCCAGCCCCATAGCTTGAACTTTGCCAGAAAATCGATAAAATGATAAAAATAACTGATGATTCTAAAAACTAATACTGTATTCGTAATCAGCATGCTCGATTACCCTCTCGTGCCAACTCCCAACCCCGTAGTCCAAGATTTGCAAACAAATCGATAAAATGATAAAAGTAATGGGTATTTTTGAAAATGGTTATCATAATCGTAATCAGCATGTTCGATTACCCCCCTGTGCCAACTCCCAGCCCCGTAGTTCAAAATTTACGAATAATCGATAAATTCGGTAGAAGTAATAACAAGCTTCCATGCTGGAAAATGACAAACACGAAGACACCATCGAGGACCTACAGACAGCATCAACAAGCATGCTTATCCACCAGCGTACAGACAAGCCACCAGTGTACAGACAAAATCCCATTCGGTTTTATATATATAGAAGGATATTATTCTCTCTAGTGAAAGGAGATATGGTAGATTCTTGTTAACATGCATCCATCCATCTAATTAGTCCAGATTTTCTACTCTTGCTCAACTCTTTCTTGCGACAGTGTGCATTCATTGATACAATGTTAAATATTCAAAGAATTAAACATTCTTTAAATTTTTGATAATGTTTCATTATCAAGGCCACTTTGAGTGCGCAGACAAACGCTGACAAAAAGTGCCGTTGTAACAGCTGTTTGATTCGGCCGTTATGCCTTAATTCTAGTCTCAACCTCAGGTGAAAGGGGTCAGCCAGATGCCGGCTCTAAAGTGAAGGGGGTCAGAGAAATTTCTCCACCTATCGCATCTATGGCGCCGAATGAAAAACTTGTCAAGCATGTGTGATTGCGGAGCCGGCATTTGATTATACGTCTTGTCGGTAATGAGCTTGATTTATTTAGCTTGCGTGATATGTGTTCAGGAATCATCCTTTTGTCTTGATAAGCTCAGTCATGACTCATGAGTAAATCAGTGAAAAGCAGCTAATTAAATTATCTCGTACCATTTTGATGATGTGAATGAGTTTTGGAAGTGCTGACAGCTGTATCAGGCTAAAGTGTGTCTTTAGTGTAATGAAGAAGAAGCAGAAGACGAAGGAATCAGAAGATGTTCAGCTCTCGCTGACTTCTTCTGAGCCAGAATACAAGTTTGCAGATGAAAAGAAGAAAAAGAAAAAACGAAAGCGCGATGTTGCCAGTGGAGGTACGATGCTTCGACACTTTTTGGTTATGTGTAAAGGTTGCGTAAGTTACTACGGGAGAATTGTGACACATTACTTCTCTGTTCCAGATACTGATCAAAGCACTGCTGCTGACTTGGCACCGGAAAGTGATCCATCAGTAGCTTCGCCCACATCTGAAAGTAAGAAAGCCAAGGAGAACGGTCATGAGCTTGTGGAGAAGACGAACCATTCCAAAGGTATTGACATATCCTGAAAACGAAGATAGAAAGCTAGCGAAAAGTCGGAATCAACAGTAAATAAAACTTCTGAAATTATACTAAAGGATGATCTAAAATTCTTACGCTACTGTTGAAGATGCAAATGGTAGCTCCATTCTAGAAAGGAGACGCGAAAATAGCGCAAATGCCCATGATGTGGAAGGAGTAGAGCCCAAGAAGAAAAAGAAGAAGAAGGATGCTATGGCTTCGAAGGTTACAACGACGGAGCAACAAGGTATGCTATTTCTATATCCCGAGTGAAGATGTTGTAGATCCGTTCGCAAACTTCAGTGTAATATGGTTAATGGCTTGATGTAAGCCATCTCTCTACAACTTTGGTTTCTTCCATTCTTAAAATGTTTTAGGATATGTGGTTGGCTCACTTTCCAATCTTTTTGGAACTTCTTCAGCATCGACATCGTCATTGAACGGTGGTGAGCTTTTATTCGTTCAGCCAACTTCGTTTGAGTTCGTTACACTCTTTGAAGGAGAGATCTCCATTCCCAAAGGAGAGACGGTCATCAAGCCGAAAAGTCAACCGATTGTCGAAGAGAAAAGCTCTTTAGTTGAGCAGTCGAAACATCATAAACGCATTGAGGAGAGTAGGACGGACCGAGTCAAGCAACGGTTTGTGTTTATTGTTTTGTCTCTGCAAATTTGATCAACAATGCTTTAGTGAAAATCGCAAGAAAGCTCGCGAACAGAGAATGACTCTTGACGAGAAAAAACGAACTCTTTTTGTTGGGAATGCTCCACTTTCCATGGACGAGCGTGCTTGCAAGAAAATATTTTCGCAATATGGCAGTGTGAGTGTTGCTTTCAACTGTATTTACACTCATGAATTTTCTCTCATTTGGCTTTCACCTTTTTAGATTGAGTCCGTTCGTATGCGAAGCGTGATGCCAAATAAGCAGAGCATCTCGAAAAGGGTCGCGCATATCGCTCATGATTTTCATGAGAAGCAAACCTCTGTGAATTTCTATGTGAAGTACAAGGAAGAAGAATCTGTACAAAAGGCGCTGGCATAGTGAGTGAATTTTGTTCAAGGATTCATCGGCTCAGTTTAGCTTTTCATTCGTTTTAAACGTTGAATAATTTTTTGCTTCCATGATCTCGAACGTTTCTGTTCAAATCATTTTTATATTTGTATAAAATCGGCTAATTATTTTCAAGTGACGAGATTCATTCAAGCCGTTTGATTTGAACAAAGTCTGGGAGAACCGTTATTATGCCGTTTTATTTATGATAAGTCATGGGACGGAATTTGGACGAAGTTACTGTTCCTTGCTTCCAGGGTTAACTCACCAAAGAATCAAAATTCTGTTCCTTTGTGATACACCCATGACTTATCATTTAGTTAATTTTTATTCAGCAACGGTACGATTGTGGAGAGGCATCGTATCAGGGTAGACACTTGCATGTCCAAAGCTGAATACGATCGAAAGTTGACTGTATTTGTTGGTTAGTTATTTTGTTTTGTTTTTTAAGAATTAGAGAACGGCCATAGGTTGTCGGTGTTGTCGATGTTGTCGGTGTTGTCGAGGTTGCCGAGGTGCCGGTCGTTGCAGGACCTCATGATAGCCTCCACGTTTCACGCGCTCTCTAAACTGTCTCTGACCCCGACAACACCGACAACACCGACAACCTATGGCCGTTCCCTTAGGACTTTACTCGTAAGAATCTTGTTCTTGTTATTCTGCAAATTCGCATTTTTCTTTTTTACCTCTCATTTGAATGTGCCGTATCTGTATTCGGCAGTTCTCATTCCGACATTCGCTTTGTGACTGCATTGCGCTTACAGTGTGCAATATAGCAGTCTGACCGGTAGGATTAGTAACTATGATTGAGAAAACCACAGGATGCCGTGTTAAAGGCAGTGTCCGGGCAAAAACTCGATTTTGAGATTTTGTGCTTACTTGGGCCTATTCGCTACGCTGAATCCGAAAATGCACATTGTAAAGCGCGAAAATGGCGAAAAACGGCTCTAACACAGGAGGGAAATGAGCAGGTGGGCGGGGTCTTCCCCACTGCGAATTCACGTTCTTGGCTTCCGAAGCGACCTTCTCGCTTCCGATTTCGAGTCAATCATTCGCATTTGATCGATAGCGATGTTAGGACGGCTAGTGGAATCGAGAAAATCGCTCCGGGAGCTGGGAGCGTGAAATCGCACTGGGGAAAGCCCCGCCCACCTGCTGATTTCCCTCCTGTGTTAGAGCCCTTTTTCGCCGTTTTCGCGCTTTCCAATGTGGATTTTCGGATTCAGCGTAGCGAGTAGGCCTAAGTAAGCAAAAAATCTCAAAATCGAGTTCTTGCCCGGACTCTGCCTTTAAAGGCAGTGGACCGGGAAAGATCCTAATTCGGGGTTTTCGCATTTTCTAGGGTTTTCCGACCCGTGGATTCCATTATAAACTTCATTTGATGAGAGAATGATGAAAACCCCGTTTTCGGGTAGCCCCGCGGGCGCAGCGTGGACGAGCTGAGCCGTTCTTCGCCGCCTGGCCGCGTCGCCTGGAAGGACGGAGGCAAAAATTCGCCTCTTGATATTTTAGGATTGCAACGATGCGCCAGTCAACGATCTTGACAGGTAAGACGTGTATTCGCTTAAAGGAAGACGTCCCCGAGGAGGCGGGCTGAGGACTGGAGGCGGGGTGAGGGTTGGGACCTCAGTAATCGATGCGGGATTGGCGGGGGTAGAGGGGATTACGGGAGGGCGCACCTAGCTAATATGCTTAGTTGGGAGTCATACTTTGGGGGTCAAAAATATCAGAAATTCGATTTTCCCGGTCCACTGCCTTTAAGGAATCGTTCAGACCGCGCACAAGGGCGGACGAAGGCGCACAAAGGCGGACAAAGCCGCACAAAGGCGAACGAATTCGCACAAAGGCGCATGAAGGCGCGTCTCGTCTCGTCTCGTTTCTCTCGACACGCACACACACACACTCACACGCGCCTTCATGCGCCTTCGTCCGCCTTCGTGCGCCTTTGTGCGCGATCTGAACGATCCCTAAGATAAAGGTTGCGCGAAGCAGAAACAATGGCAGGGCCTAGTACTTCTGATTCTGCCATTGCCAGTGCAAGAACTTGATAGTGCGACAAGGTGATTGAAATGAAGACCATTGCATGTTTAGTTGCTCGCAGCGTTTAGAGAAGAGATTCATTTTCTTTATTCGGAGTAGTATGGGATCTTCTATCTCTAGGAAATCTCCCGTCTCCGCAGCGTTTAGAGAAGAGATTCATTTTCTTTATTCGGAGTAGTATGGGATCTTCTATCTCTAGGAAATCTCCCGTTAGATGCAAATGAAGACGAGCTTGCCGAATTGTTCGAAGAAAATGTGGGCGGTGTCAGTTTTGCTCGATGTGTGAAGGACCAAGCCATTGGCATGGGCAAGGGTTTTGCATTCGTCGTGTTCAAGGCTAGTTCCCATGTTGGGTTGCTATTTAGTCTCTGACTTGCTGATAGTATCACTTTTTATCTTCAAGTCTTATTTCAGTCCCCCTCTTCGGTACCTCTAGCATTAGGTCTGACAGGCCTCCAGTTTCACAAAAGAGAGCTTCGTATAACGAAAGTGATGAAGAAGGCTAAGGTTATGGTGAGTTCATTTACAGTCTTGTGATAATGACGATTATCATATTGATCCTGCTGTTACTACGAATGAGCGAAAAAAATAATTTGATATAGGTTTTGCGTCCCTTATTATGATGTGGTCGATAACACAAGAGCATTACATTATCTGTTGGTCTTCTGACGTTACGTAACCTTACCTGCGTTCTGCACATAGTTCGCTCTTTCAGAAGATTCAAAAGGCTAAAAGGAAAAGCGGCGGTGGTGCGCAGGACGATCAGAATCTTACAAAAGGCCAATTGCTCAAAATAAACAAGTTCAAGTTCTCAACTCGCAAGTAAGCTTTTGGTCTTGGCACAGCTTATAAATTTGTTAGCACCTATCGGCAATCCACACATCTTGTCATCGGCTTTTTATTTTACTCTCCAGATCAAATGAAGACCAACGTCCTGTGCTCAAGAAAAAGGCTAGAAAAGCTATTCAGCGGAAGAAGCAAGGCAGGCAGTCGAAAAGTCTGATGCAGTAAACTTGCGATATGACTTCGATGCTGATGCGCGCACTCGTAACTTTGTTAAAAATTATTGTTAGCTCGTTATTTGTTGATTGTTGTATGTACGAGCATTTATTGAGAGTAACCTATGTAAATGAAATACATTTGAACTGCTGTGTGAGCAGCATCCATATCTGGTTAGATCATCACTCTAAAGGAATTTGGTCGTTTATCTTGGTATTATCGCCATGCCGTTGATGTGAATTCCACCTTCTTAACCAACATTAAGGCACTATGAGGCATGTTAGCAAGTTTCAGATTTGACATTGTGTTCTTAATCTTGGATTTCGGAGTTGCTACAAATGGGAGGCAACATGTAAGCCATACTGCCATATTTCGCTTCAGGGTTTGCATTATGGTGACTTTAGGTTTCGCATTGTCGGGACTTATTAAGATGCCACGTTAGGCAATAGGCAACTATCCGTTCTCAGAGATCCTGCTGAAACGTTTGAGAAGGTGCTTTGACATGCTCATCATAAACATCTTCAGTAGGCTACGGTGGCGCCACTGTAACGTCACGTGGATAAGCTGCATGGGCGGGGGGGGGGGGGACGAGACAATTCGACTTGCTTGACAAAAATGCAAACGAATATAGGAGCTTTGGAATCACAGTTGCGTGCAGTATGGAGTTTGTCGCATGGGACACTTGTATTCAGCATTCTCAAAAAAAAAACCTCATTTTCAGCGAAGTACGAGGTGTTGGTTTTGATAACCTCCACCGTCACCTAAATCAGGAGGCTGCAGTAACCTATGATCAAGATGTTTGCGGTTAGCATATCAGATATAACCTCCAACTTCTGTGTCTTTGCCAAGACACGAAAATCATTGGCTTCTTCAATGACAAGAAAGAGTCACGAACTCGAAGTGGCCGATCAGCACAAGACGCATACGGTTATAGCCATGAAAGGGCACCATGCTAGTTGCTTCGGAAACATTGTCTAGAGTACGAAAAATCATTTCTAAAGAGTTGACATACAATGCAGGGAACCTGCGTCACAGCGAGCTTAATCTATCTTGCTTGAAAGACGGCAAACTTGCTGCTGCTTTACCTGCACATGTTGCTGTAGCGTAGAGCTATGCAAACCAAGCGGCTATAACCCGTCCGGGCCGTAAATTTCATAACTTCCTTCCCAGGAGCGCTTTGCAGATGAGGACGACAGATTTGAAATCGGCGTTTAGAGTTCTGGGTAACGGCATGCATTTTGTGCTGATCGGCCACTTCGTGTTCTTGACCCTTTTGAGAACAAGTCTAATCATCGCACGCACGCACTAAATGTTGGCGCTCATGAGAGCATAAGGGGCATGATTGATCGATTCATAGAGACGTCAATGTCTGCAACTGCGCCTGTTCTCTGCGCGCAGTGACTCGGCTGTAGTTTTTGGGAAGACACTCAACGAGGAGTTTTGATTTGGTAACATAAAATGTTACAATCGAAACTTGAACAGCTGCGTGTTATAGGCCGTTCGCGTTGCTCTCGGCATAGGTGCGATAAGGTGAGAATGACCTCTCCAGGGTGAAGGGGGTCACGGTGGTCGCAGCCCCTCCAGGGTGAAGGGGGTCAGAGGGGTGGGGGGGGGGGGGGGTGAGTGCGTGTGTGAATGTGGGTGTGCAATTACACACAACGCGCCGCCAGGAACGGCATCGTTCCTTTCACAACCTCATTTTATGAGGACCAATTTTATAAACGGTCTGAAAAAGTGAGTGTGGTCAAAATTATTGGATGGTACACAAGTGCAAAACTGAGGTTTTTGCAGGCGTAATGTTCGAGAAGGAAAGGTTATACAACGCTTGTCACTTGCTTCATACGAATATGGGATGAAGGACCGGACCGACCGATGACTATATTCTTGTCTTAATGTTGCCGTTTCATGCTTTGTAATTTAATGAAAATATTGAAAGATGACGACTATCAACTATTGTGAGGCCATCAGAAGTTGTAATAGAAAGTGGTTCTGAGAAGTGTGATGATAGGAAGTATCAAAAATTATGAATGATGAAGCACGTAGAAAGAAGTAAAATATTGTCTGCCCAGGAAACTCTGAAAGATACAGTAAAATTATTGCATGTATAAATGGCCATTCTTGGTAAATGTGCACGTAAATGATAAGAAGGAAACACACGGGAGCAGGATTGGAACCTTCTCGTTATCTTCTGAAGAAGGCATTGGATGACAATGGAAGAAACAAAGACAGGAAAATCGGAACGCCTGACTGCCACGAAAAATTTATTCCGCTGAAGACTACTGGACACTGCGTAATACTGAACTTGTTAAATTCGGCAATTGGAAAAATTAGGGTTGTTGAAACAAAGTGAGGTTGTAACTACTTCTTGTTTAAATTTAGATTTAGCATAGGAGATATTTGTACGAAAATTGTTTGTGTATCGGAAAGGAGGGAGAAGATTTATAGGCAAAATTTGAAAAAATTTAATTAAAAATTCATAACGTTTGTAGATGAACAGCTAGTACAAGGAGATGCCCACCATTAGAACCGTCTCATTCTCCGCTTTCAGAAAATATATAGTTTGTCTGGGATCCGTTGAAAAAAGTGCGTGGTGAAGGGGGTGCCTAGTGATTTTTGGAGATTTTCGAGTTTTCAACATAAAAAAATTCATAACTTCTGTAGATGAACAGCTAGTACAAGGAGATGCTCACCATTAGAACCGTCTCATTCTCCGCTTTCAGAAAATATATAGTTTGTAAGGGACCCTTGCAAAAAGTGCTTGGTGAAGGGGGGGGGTTGAGAATTTTGTAACGGAAGTTCTCAGGTAGACGTCTTTTTACAATGGTGAAAAGGCCTCTGCCTGAGAACTCCCGTTATAAAATTCTCACCCCCCCCCCTTCACCAAGCACTTTTTGCAAGGGATCCCTTACAAACTATATATTTTCTGAAAGCGGAGAATGAGACGGTTCTAATGGTGAGCATCTCCTTGTACTAGCTGTTCATCTACAGAAGTTATGAATTTTTTTTATGTTGAAAACTCGAAAATCTCCAAAAATCACTAGGCACCCCCTTCACCACGCACTTTTTTCAACGGATCCCAGACAAACTATATATTTTCTGAAAGCGGAGAATGAGACGGTTCTAATGGTGGGCATCTCCTTGTACTAGCTGTTCATCTACAAACGTTATGAATTTTTAATTAAATTTTTTCAAATTTTGCCTATAAATCTTCTCCCTCCTTTCCGATACACAAACAATTTTCGTACAAATATCTCCTATGCTAAATCTAAATTTAAACAAGAAGTAGTTACAACCTCACTTTGTTTCAACAACCCTAATTTTTCCAATTGCCGAATTTAACAAGTTCAGTATTACGCAGTGTCCAGTAGTCCTCAGCGGAATAAATTTTTCGTGGCAGTCAGGCGTTCCGATTTTCCTGTCCTTGTTTCTTCCATTGTCATCCAATGCCTTTTTTAGAAGATAACGAGAAGGTTCCAATCCTGCTCCCGTGTGTTTCCTTCTTATCATTTACGTGCACATTTACCAAGAATGGCCATTTATACATGCAATAATTTTACTATATCTTTCAGAGTTTCCTGGGCAGACAATATTTTACTTCTTTCTACGTGCTTCATCATTCATAATTTTTGATACTTCCTATCATCACACTTCTCAGAACCACTTTCTATTACAACTTCTGATGGCCTCACAATAGTTGATAGTCGTCATCTTTCAAAATTTTCATTGAATTACAAAGCATGAAACGGCAACATTAAGACAAGAATATAGTCATGGTCGGTCCGGACCTTCATCCCATATTCGTATGAAGCAAGTGACAAGCGTTGTATAACCTTTCCTTCTCGAACATTACGCCTGCAAAAACCTCAGTCTTGCACTTGTGTACCATCCAATAATTTTGATCACACTCACTTTTTCAGACCGTTTATAAAATCGGTCCTCATAAAATCGGTCTAAGGACATAACTGGAAGAATGCCACGATTGCCCTTCACTTGCTTCTTGACTGTAGAGCCTACAAATAGGTTGATAGCGTGGTCATTTTATCAGGCATAACCTTACCTCACTGTTGATTTTTTTTGTCGTTTTGGTGAAGGGGGTCACCTTGGTTTCCGGCTCAGGGGTGAAGGGGGGGGGGGTGAGCAAATTCTCACACTATCGCACCTATGGCTCTCGGAGAACAACGCTGCTGCGTCCATCGAAGGCAGTTCATGACTATAGGAGGCGCAGAGAAAACACGCGGCGAGAGTGCACGAGCAAAGAGGAGTGATGCACACTGCACACCTTGCGCACTCTCCATGTCCTGCGCGAACGGCCTATATTTAGACAACGATATTTTTTCTGCTTTTTATAGGTGAACAGAATCTTGGTAAAATGTAAACGCTCACTTTTGAATAAGTTTGGCCCTTCAAAGGCAGCATCCACTCAGATCTTTGTTTTCCATGTTTTTGTTATTCTGGAGCCTTTCCGTGGCCTTATTACAGATATGAAGTGCAAAATGTACAAAACCCCCAAAAATCCCGATTCCTGCAAGTCCTATGCGAAAGCGCAGACGATTTTCAGTACCTGGGTGGGCGGAGCTGATAGAGCGGGCGTGGTTTGATTGCACTTTTGCGGGATCCAAGTTCATATTTTCTTTAGAGACTACTTAGAATACCGTACCAACGTAGATTCCTGCTCCTGGGGCCTTCTTGCAAACTAGGTACTAATCGGGGGATCGTAAATTTTGCCTGGACGCTGCCTTCAAAGTCATTATTAGCGCTCCAGCCACTTTTTGTTTCAAATACAGCAAGGATGTCTTTAGACTTACTCGAATTGGTCGAAATACTTTTCTTGTTTCAAAATGAATCATAGAGAATTGTCCTGCAGTAGTCCTTAGAAACATTCTCTGTAGAAAAAAGTTGTATCCGAATTCAAGAATTTATATCCAAATAAAGCGAACAGTTTCTGATTTTTGTTACTTTATTTTTCAGCTTTCGGTTTTGGTTTGCCAGCTCCTAGTGGTAAGAGATCTTGTAGAAGTGTATCATCCATGTCGAATGTTATGCTCGCTGCTGTCTGTTTTCCTGATGTGTTCCACTGCCAAAAGATTAGCAACACACAAAGTGCAATTTTCTGAAATAAGATTTGAGGTCAAAATGACGTAAGTTAGGTAATGGGAAATCCTAGGCGTGGCGAAAAATTTGATAAATAATTTAAACTATAAACTTTGAAGAGCACGGAGCAGGCAAATCAATCAGGTCTATATTTGCAAAAAGTGGGAGTGAAACAGACTTCTAAATCCCGTCTCTTCCCGAAAAGGGAACTTTTTTGGTGATTCGACAAAATCCTATGCTCTAGCTTCTATCTCCTAAGTAGAAATTTCTTACAGCAGAGTTGCTCAAAAGTGATGTCAAAGATATTATTCTAATAAAGAATACAAATCTATAATCACCATGAACGCGAAACATCCATATATTATCCATTGTTTTGAGATGGGAATTTTCTAAACAGAAATTTGTAGTGCTTATTTCTACAATTCATTGCTTATACAAGGTTGTTACCTCCAAAATGTCCTTTATGAAAATGTAAACGGAGCTATAAGCAGAATCGTCTTTTGAGGCCATGTCGGGGTTTACCGCTAATTCTTCCAAATGTTTATAAAATGAAACACTTCATTAACGGTGGACTTATCAAGGCTCACTATCACTCATGGAACTTGGTCTGACTTCCATATGTCTTTTATCACAGGATTCAAGCCGCTATGCTCTTTGTTCGTTTCGGCTGGTGATTTGCTCAGCTAATGAATTGGCAATTGGTGTTCGCCCTAGCACCTGCTCGATATTGTGATTTATTGATAATGACCCCAGAAGCACAAAGAAAAGAGCCTTGGCGTGATCTGACATAACAATCAGCAGACTAAATGGAAACTATTACAGGACTGGTTCTGTGCCTTCTGACTACATGGCTGAGGAACACTTGATAAGCTAGCTGAAGAGATCCTGATTTGTCTCGTCATCTTCTCGCTCCAGCATTCCTTAATCATCCTTGACGTGTGAAATTGTTAGTGACGCTCATTGCTACAGATGAGCGCATCCTACTATATGCTGCGGGGACTTTGCTAATTTTTTTTCGGTTTTCTATGCTATATGGGCTGTCAAAAACATCTGGTTCACTATTCTCTGAAGTTCTCGCCCATCAAACACTATAAATGGAACTTTCGTTTTTGGACTGGTCGGAAAAAAATATGCGCAGTGATTGGGAGAGGAAAAGAAGTGAGGTTTTTGAAAACTTGTCTATAGTGAATTCATGGCCATGAATCTTGGGCATATCGAAATGAAAACGAGCATTTTGTCTGTGGGCGGAAAAAAAAATCAAGGATGGATTTTTAGCATGTGTCTTCAGTCCATAGTCTCCTTTCTTTCTTTCTTTCTTTCTTTCTTTCTTTCGTTCTTTCCTTTTTCGTCTCTCTCTCTCTCGCTCCCTTTTTTCTTTCCTTCAGAGACATCTCCTCTTTATCTATAAACAGTTTTAGAAGACTAAGATTATAGAGGTTGATTCAGAAAGAGAGACACTGATTTCTACATTTAGGTTTTAGCTGCCTAATAGCTATGATACAGCGGTACGATGACTACTGATTATACCTTATAAACATGGCTCCATATAGGCCTCAGCTTGTAAAGGATAGATTTTGAAATCCAACAGAATCAGAGCTTCTCCAAGTTTGTAGTTGGGAAACTTACACTACGCTCATGGTTTCTGCAAAAAAAGACGCGACGGTCACCTGAGTCAGGTGACATCACCGTAGCGTAGCCATATCTCTTTTCAGAGTAAACGAATTCTGAATCGGAGGATACTATTCGATCAGCTCGATTTAGAAGTGACTGTTTAAATACGGTATACGCACTGTAGGCAGCCAGATCTCGCAAATCATCTCAAATTTTTGCTTGCGGTAGCTTGGGGGTGCCTAATCACCGCACATTGTATAATTTGCCGTAATTGAAACTTGTATTTGCTCGCACAATCTGGCTGCCTACCATGCACACTCCGTTCTAAACAGGCATTTCCACATATCAGAATATTCTTTTCGTCGAGCTGCATCGAATGGTGCTCTTGGATTCAGAATTCATCCACTCTGAAGCGAGATATGGCCACGTTACGGTAATGTCGCCCAACTCACGTGATCGTCGCGCCTTTTTTATGCAAAAATTATGAGCGTAGGTATCATATGTCCACGAGTGTTACAACCTCCCTATGAAACTATGATTTTTTACCCTTCCCATCGAAACCCGTTCGTACTGATCTGCGAACGAACACAATGCGATATGCGCATACGAACGTGTGATGTAAGATCTCGCGCAAAGGTGTAATCGGAGCGCATCACACAAGCGCCTGTTGCGCTTCATCGCTCACAAACGAGCACTTTTCAGAGGGCGATTTCGTATAGAGACATTCCGTTCTATTATATCTCATCAGTGTTACAACCTGGTAAATTCCCGCGTTTTTTTCTGTTCGAGCGCGATTTTGGGAAGTATTGAGTCTGATAGATAAATTCGCTCGTTTTGGCGGCTCCTACGAATGCCACAGACAGATTTTTGCCCAGTGCTTGGTATTCTTGGAAAGAATACTTCAGTGAGAACTGGAATGTAAAATATCTCAGTAGAATTCATTTCATTATGGGAAAAAAGCGCAAGAAAGTGCGAAACCTCATTTCTCTCATAATGCGCAATGTGAAAATTTTTTATCTCTTATCAAGAAATCCAATAGATCACAAAGTTTATTGTTATTCGTGAAATAGAGAAAACTTGGGTGTATCTAATTGAAAAACCAAGCTTCTGAAAAACTTAGCCGTATTGGGGCATAAATGTCCTTTACTGAGAGTAGGAAATTTTGAGTACCCTTTGATTCAACTGGCTTGGCGACTGGAAGGCGGAGCTCGTGACCTAATTAAGGCTAGGTAATGATCAGAGAACACGCACGCGGGGGCGAGCGCCTTAATTAGGTTACAAAGCCCGCCTTCTAGCCGCCAAGCCGATAGTACCAAGCTTTGGACTTCCTCTCAAAAAACAATTAAAAATCAACAAGAAAAATTTTCAAGGAAATTTGCATGAAAAAGCGAACTTTTTTTTTAGCCAAGCTGTGTAGGAAGCTAATAGGGTTTCTATATGGGCTGCTAGTTTCTTAGATGGAATTAAAAGTGTTCTCAACCAGTTTTGTATCTTAATCAATTTAAATCCACTTTGTTGATCAGGAAACTTAGATTAAGTTCTTAAGAAACATTGCTACAGGCTAGTTCTTCATTTCTTTGTTAGTCATCATATCTTCTAACTTGTATAGCATCTGAGCTCATTTTATAGCTGTACAGTCCAGATTTTTGTCCTAAATGGAAAATTATTCCCTCCCCCATGCCCAGTTCACATTCTGTTCTGCCACCAAACTCTCTGCACTATCCAAATCTACTCGTATAGCAGACCTACATGTAATCCTCCTATAGGTTTATTGCACCTGAAAAACTCCCTAGAGCGTGTCATACCAGTTTTCTGACATTATGACTTGCTCGATGGCACATTTACATTGCTGTCATGCAATGTATAATCATATTGTTTGCTTTTTTCTTTCTATGCATACGGCATACAGATCCAGAATCAATTGCACATTGTCAGAACGCATAATAGCGCTGAAGTATGACAATTCGCGCTGTAAATTGTTATAGTTATACTGCAAGTCAGTTTTTATTTTTTGTATAGTACCTGTACGCAATGGCACTCGTTTCTGCTATAATTCTTGGCAATTTGCCAGTTTTCAGTGGATGATAATGTATACACATACAATTTTTGAAATCCCTCATGAAGACCGCTTTTGTGAGTCTGCCGAAAAGTCATGCCGTCCTCAGACGCAAGAACATAAACTAGCTATACATTATATTGAGGTGTCTCATGATTTTTTCTACCGTTTTTACCACAATCACCGTCTTTTTATATCTTTCGTTAATCTGATGTTTCTTGAGTTCGACAGGGCAAAGCAAGCTCTACAAGATGGCTGTCAAAAGCCTGCCTAAATTGTATCCCACGTGAAGTTTTGAGCTGAAATGTGATAGTAGTCAAAAACGAACTTTTCTGTCAAAAATCGCATCTCCGCGCCAAAGTAGCTAAAAAAAAATTCCCCATTTATCCTAGCATATGCTTGTCACATCGCACATTTAATTGTACACTTTCCAATTTTTTCCATGTCTAAAAAAAAGAAAAAAATGAGCGAGGTAGAATGGCGAACTCCGCCCCTAGACGTCCTGAGCTCGTCCCACATGCGTGGGAGGAGCTTCTAGGGGCGGAGTTAAGGCTCATACATACAGGAAGTGCGATCATGTATTTGTATCCTTTGTAGGTGCCCCATTTCTCGAGCTGATGTTTAGGGTAAAAATGGTAAAAAAAAATTATGAGACACCCTAATACATTATTTGTTACGCTCTTATAAAAACTTTTTTAATTTTGATTTCAAAGCCTGACAATGAGATTCGCTGTATGAAAGAAGCTGTATAAGAGAAGCCAGAGCCCTTATCTCCAGCAATTAGCTAACCCAAAGATCAAAACCAAGAAAATCCTACATTAATGGAGTTACTTATGAATTGTATTCTTTGGAAAGAGCTGTAAACATGCTTCGATTACAGAAAGGCCTTGCATCAGTTTTTCTGAGATTAGAATATTTTAGGACGGAAAATCCAATGCTTACAGAAGCGGGCGTATCTACTACGAAATATTAGAATATGCTATTCTGTCAATCTTCTCTTCCACTCAAAGTATTTAGCTCTGCTCTTTGCCATTGCTGGCTTATTGACATTGACCATATTTGTTCAGTCAGCTTTATTAGTTCCCTAAGTTGTTGTTTATCAGATCTTATAAGGTGCAGTGTCGCGTGAACTTTGCCAAGAAGATTTGTTTATCTGTGAATTCTTGAAGAATCAAGGCTTATGTTGTTTACAACCACTCTAATGAGGCCAACGCGTTGTCTGAAGGAATTCTGTGGTAATTTATGGTGGTGGACTAGAAAAGTTCAGAAATTGGTTTTACCTAGCGAGAAGTATACAGATTACGAAAAGGTCATGGAATACTATATATCCTGGCTCTTTGCACTGATGATTTTCAGAATCTTGAATTCATTCAAACAGTTAGGCAGTTACTGTGGCTTAATCTCCAACAGACCAACCTCTACTACATAGAAAATTTGAAAATGGTGCTCGACTCTAAGTTTTTTATGAATAAAAGCTGAACTTTGCGGTGTTTGAACAGCTTAAGTACCCTTGTGTCTCGTACTTCATAGGCCCTACCACAATCTATTACATTTTGAACTTTTCCGACTTCACATCGGTTACGACAGAAGCTGAAAAGAGTGAGAAATCCCCGACGTCAAATGTCTTGCTAGTTCAGTTGAATGCTCAGCTTTGCAAACGAACTTGATCTTCTTATCGACAAGGAATGTCGAACATGTTTGGTGGACTATTGATCCTTTTTAGGCACTTCAATTCTTCCAGTTTATGGCGACTTCTGCGTAGATTTCTCTTTTTTTCTTGACAACTTTTGTATCATTTACTCGCTTTTCCTTAGACGAATTTGATGATTCTGTGTTTTCTCATTTTTTTACATCCAAAGAATTC